CATTTTTTTAAAATTAAGATTCTGTACACAAACAGACCTGTAGTGGTTTGTGCTCCAACTGGTTCTGGGAAGACTGTTATTTTTGAGCTGGCCATAATTCGACTCTTAATGGAATGCCAAGGGCCCTCCTACAATGCAAAAGTTATTTATAGTAAGTACGTCTCTTAATTGTTGCATTATACATTGTTGCAATTGCCCACACGGTATTGTATTCGTACAACAGCAAGCACGCTTGATGTAGACCTGTGTGAGCATGAATGTGACACGCACCCCCTAGTGGCCCCCATCAAGGCACTGTGTCGGGAGAAATTCGAAGACTGGCAGAACAAGTTTGGAGCACTCGGCATTCAGTGCAAAGAGCTTACCGGAGACACGGACGTCGATGACTATTTTGAGACACAAGATGCCCAAATAATATTGACAACACCGGTAAGTGTTGAAAAAATAAATAAGGTGACAATACGCCTCCTTCACGTAGCTGTCCTTCCACATTAAAATTAAGGGTATATTTTTTAGACATCCCATCAGCCACCACACGACCTTCTGGGATCATAATAATTTCAGCAGTATTGGTTCAACACAAGCAATACTCTGGACCGGTTTTGCTTATCACTGTCTCATCAGCAGAGTCAGGCTTTCTTAAGCCTATTTTTCTGAATTGCTCGATGTGTATAGGTGAGGACCCACTCTGTTAGATATGGGTCCTAGTTTGATGCTGACCTACATAATACGGAACACAACGTAATGTCTCACCTGTGCTCAGGTTTCTCATTGGCTCCCAGTTCACACCCGCATTGAGTTTAACGTTCTCCTACTCGTGTTCAAGGCCTTCAATGGGCTTGCTGCACCTCACATCCAGGAAACGATTCAACCGTACACTCCGCAAAGTTGATTCAGCCGTACACTCCACCGGGATCTCTCATATCCACCGATAATTCCATACTCGGGTGTGGCACGCTCCCAGAGTGTGAACCTGGGGTCACGGGGCTTTTGTTTGTACATTGTAATGTTATATCTCTACTGGGCTCACTGACTTCATTTGTTTGCAGGAAAAATGGGATAGCACAACAAGACAGTGGCACGACAGGTCTCTCGTGCAGGTCGTGAGGCTGTTTCTGATTGATGAGGTAGAGTACATGACTGTATTGTTCTTGGTTTTCCTCGGCATACTTTTGTAAATACAGCGATACCCCCATTTACTCCCCCCCCCCCCCCCGCCACCTCACATATCACAAATACGTCGTCACTTCATGGATACCGCGACCTGTTTTGCGTCGCCTCCACCCACACATACGTCGATGACAGCATCCGTCCTTTCTCGGGTCCGTCACCTCAGCCTTCGCCTCCACCTACCCTGTAAATTGCTTCGATTGATGTTGTTTGGATATTCGCTTGTCGCACCTTTCAGGAACGCATCCCCGACGTAAACCGGGTTATTCCTGTGCACAGTATTGAATTTATAGGAAGCGGCCACAGTGGTGTGATGGTTAGCGCGCTGGATTTGCAATCCAATAAAGTGACATAGTTATACAGGGACTCCTTGACTTATGAGATAGACGTGTGCCTGGAAAGGTGCGCGTATCTCAAAATCGCGTATGTTCAATAGCAATTTTCCCAGAAGAAATAATGGTACAGGAGGTGGTTCGGGGATTTCACTCGCACTCGCTGACGTAATCGCTTTTATTATCCTAGCCTATATCAATACAATACATGTACCCACAATATAATACTTTACATTAAAAAGAAAATCACGTAAACTCTAATTTACTTCCTATAAAATAAAGAAATCCGGTATTGCTTGTTAAGACGCCGGAGTTGCGTTGCGGAGGGGATGGATGGAGGCGAGGAGGGAGACAGACTTAGAGTTAGTGAATGCCGTACAAGTATAGCGCACGAGTTATCGTACCGCACTGGTTGCTGGCAACGCCGTTGGGTCGCGGTGCCAGGCTAGGGTGGCGCATCTCGTGTTGCGGATGACGATATTCCGAAAATTGCCTAGCGTATGTCAATATAAAGTCTAAATACAACGCGCGCGTTATTCCAAAATGACGTACCACAAAAGCAGGTAAACCGAGGATTGCATGCATACGGTTACAGTACCTAATTTGAATATATGGTCATCGAATTGAAGTGGGAGTACCATGTGTTAATTTTTCGATCATAAAGTTGGACCCATTCAAACAACTTATAAAGAAGTTGCTGGCATTTGTGCCCAGGTGTCTGAGATGTTGGGAATTTCGTGGCAAGACAGAATACTGTAAGCAATGCAGAAGTCTGGAAGAGTACACGACAGCTCAGTACTTCAGGGTGGTTCATGCTTGCAGGATGGGGAAGGGCCAATTGCCGATACAGGCATTGTAATGGTCTCCACGAGTTTGGACAACTCAAGGAAAAGAACCTGAGACAAGATCGTGGGATACTTCGATAAAAAAAAATCATGGAAGTTGCGTCGTGTTATGCTGTGGGTCATGGTGCAGGTACACACAGTAGGGGATGAGTCACGTGGTGCCACCTTGGAGGCTGTGGTCAGCAGAATGAAGACGCTTTATAACCTTGTCCCTCCAACCTCCACAAAGGATGCGCTTCAACCGCTGCATACCTGTGCGGGAGTACGGATCATCGCCCTGTCAGCCACCATTCCCAATATAGAAGATGTGAGTTGGCATACTTATTATACATTGTTTAAACATATACTGTATCGCTACAATCTTGATTTGAAGCTTTCGTGACTGCAGAAATCCATACACTTGGGTTATTTCGGTGAAGTCACGTATATATAATTTGTATTTATTTTATACCTATGTGACTTGAGCGAAAGAACCAAAGAGTATATATTGCTATAACATTGATTAATAGCCAGGTGGCTCAGTGGTAGAGCGAGCGGCTCGCAATCAGAAGGCTGCGAGTTAAAGTCCTCGTTGGGGGTGCTAACTCGTTCCATGGTCCTTCGGGGGTCATTAAAATCAGTATCACTTTGTGGGGGAGTCAATATTGGTTCTACGGATAGACTCTCCCCCGTTATAAGAATGTAGAATGTCCACCGCTGGCTCAGGGCTGTAAACAGGATATGAGCACCGCCTCAATGCTCATTTGAGTAAAAAAAATAACCTTCACGTCTACTATAAACTAGTTGCATTTAATTTGTAACATCCACTGTTAAAAGGAATTTGTGTCATCTTAATCAAGTTGCACGTGGGCAAATGCCCAGACATTCTTTTTGACTTATATATATAAAATATGGAGAGGTATGAATACCTCTCAATGCATTTAAATTAATATTTGTATATCCTCTACAAATATTGCTGAGGCATCCACCTTTCTCTTTCTAGGTTGCCGAGTGGTTGTCTGATAGGGATGGAACGGCAATCTTTGTAAAATTGGATGAAAAGCATCGGCCTGTGAAACTCCGCAAAATCGTGTTGGGATTTCCTTTCTATCGTCTACAGACTGCCTTTAAATTTGACTTGATACTCAACTACAAGCTCGCAAAAATTATACAAACATATTCTGAGCAAAAGCCAACGCTCATTGTGAGTACATGTCTTATTTGTTGTTCCAAGTCAAAATGGCATGATTAGTTTAATTGCATATTTTTTTAAATTTAAATATTTTGCATGCATAGCCCTTAAATATGGAATATGTTAAGGTGTATATGGCCTCCATTGACACATACATAGCAAACAGGAAATGCCATGTGGACAAAAATCTCATGTGTAGCCTTAACAGACTTTTGGGGGAAGTGCTGGTGGAAGTGCTGGTAAGCGAGCACTTATGAAGACCATCATGAGCACACGAGGGGGTAGGTGGGCAGCACCACGCCGGACCGCCTTTGTTTCCCCAATGCTGATGTTTCAGTATCACAGCAGGTACTCATTTGAGGCTGAGTAGACCTAAGGAAGCCCCAGAATTGGTTGAAATATTCACCGTCGCTTTTGATCATGAGCGGGAATCGAACTCGGGTAACAGGGTTTGTAGCACGGTTCACTAACCACCACTCCCCACTTGCATATCTATAACCATGCATATACAATCACACAACGGCAATATCCCCTGTTTAGTCTTTACAAGACTCACTTTCAGTTTTCTCAGTTTCATTTATTTGGTGTAGAGCCCTGTGAGCCATCCGGCTCTTGAATCGGGTGCAACCGCAACAAACAAAAACATGAACAAGAAAAACATGATTATTCTTAGCTCTTTCGGTAAAGTCACGTTGAAGGGAAACAATAAAATAATAAAATATATAAAAAACAATAAAAAATTCTCACGACGTTTCGACCATAACACAAACGGTCGTCATCAGGTGTGAAAAGCAACGGCAAGAAACATTTGAAAGAAGTGTCGGTTCGCATTAATTAATTTATTTTTGAACGGTGTTTTTATTTATAAAAAAACGTCAGCGCCACGTGCAGCGATTTGGCAGTTTATTTAGAAGGACGAGTCCATCTATGTTCTGAAAAGAGGAGGGGGGAGACGAAAAATTAATGTATGCTGTCTGAAAGCCACCGTAAGCGTGAACAATCAATTAAGACCTGAAATGGTTTATCAAATCCTTCCAATGATTGCTAAGCCAGAATTGTGTGCTCCATTTAGAAAGTGTTTCTTTCGTGGACGGTTTGGTAACGCTGGCGCGCAAGCCGTTTAGAAGAGGTGGGTGGCTCTGAAGAGAGCCTTTGGGTTGGTTGAGTGCGCGAGAGATGAAGCCGTAGAGAGTGCGGCCCTGGCGCTTGAGGGCGTAGACCACGTCCGTGGCGGTGACGGCCTCGCGCTGTCTGGGCAAGAAGCATTTAGCGAGCACCTGTAGAGGCCATACACATATACGTTTGCGCACACAAAACGTTATAAAAGTATGCATTTATACAATGAATATCACACCTAGTCAAGCGCACATATATAAATATTAAAATGGTTTAGGCCTTAGATATTTCACGTGTATTCCTTTGGAAGCAGGCATACTTTTTAATAGCGTGCATTGAAGGCACCTTGTGGTTATTCTTTTACAGTTCTGTGCGACGAGAAGAAGTGTTCAGCTGGCTGCAGCCACACTGGCTAAAGATGCTAAATTCATGATTGATTTCCAGCACAGGCAGAGGTAGGCGTGGGAATTGGGCTCTAGCACATATTCGTGTTTCGCAAATGTTCTGTGATTAAGATATTGGTGTAAAAGTAACGGTCAAGGTGCCGTCCTCAAGTTCCTTGTTCGAGCCACTGCTGGTGTTAACCTCCGCTTGAGAGAAAAAATATGTTGAATGACTCCAATATCCACGATGATGTTGGTCGCGAAAGCCTACGTGTTAAACTGACTTCATAATTTATTTTGCAATATGAAATACGTACCGAGGCCCTTCGCTCTTATTTGCCTTAGGCCCCTCATAAGTTTAATCTGGGCCTGATCATAATGCATCTAAGGCCCAGGGAACAAGGTGATCAAGGGGAGATTGACACATGTGATTGTGAAAATTCCACACTTACACTATGGCACCAAGTCCGTCAGCCGACAAGGGCAATGCCACTGTCATCATGGACAAAACAAAATATAACAACAAAATTCAAGAACTACTCAACGATGGCAGCTATACAAAAATAAAAAGAGATCCCACCAACAGCCTGGTCACCAAAACGAACAAAATCATCTCTGATTCAACAGCATTAATTGATGAGATCAAACAGTTCTCCTTGAAACCCTCTGCTGCCAGACCACCAAGATTATATGGCCTTCCAAAGATACACAAAGAAGATACACCCGTTCGTGCCATCGTCTCTACTATCAACTCCCCCACCTACAAACTGGCACGTTTTCTTGCTGATATACTGCGACCTTTCACTGGAAAAACCACCTCTGCGGTACTAAATTCTACTCACCTGGTATCGACAATCAAAGGCATTTCCCTGTCCCCAGACAACCTGCTTGTTAGTTTTTATGTGGTGTCCTTGTTCACCAAAGTCCCGGTACCTGACACCATCACTATCATTGAAGACCTGGTTCATCAAGGACTGCATACTGATGTACCCCCCCCTGGTGAAACATTGCTTAAGCAACACATACTTCACCTGGAATGGAACTTTCGACAAACAAACTGAGGGCACCCCAATGGGCTCCCCCCTATCTCCGGTTGTAGCCAACGTATTCATGGAAAAATTTGAAACTGACGCCATCCAGACTGCCACTCTACGCACGACCTTATGGAAGAGGTACGTTGATGACACCTTTGTCATCTGGCCACATGGCCAGCCTGCTCTAGACCAATTCCGCGACCACATCAATTCCATACACCCAGCCATCAGATTTACCATGGAGGTCGAAAAAGATGGCAAACTACCCTTTTTGGATGTCTTAATTAAAAGGAGACATGATGGTTCAATGAGCCACTCTGTCTACAGGAAAGCTACCCATACAGATGCTTACTTGAAACCGGATTCCCACCACCATCCATCCCAGAAGAACTCCCTCATCAAGACTCTATACCATAGAGCCCAATGCATTTCCGACCAGGAACACATTACCAGTGAACTCAAGCACGTACACCAGGCTCTCAGGGCTAATGGTTACTCCGACTACACAATCCGCAAAGCCATCACTCCAGTCATGAAGTAGGATCCTCTTGTGGAGCCACTCAAAACCATCACCTTACCCTACATTGCAGGGGTCACTAAAAAGATCTCCAAAATCCTGAATAAACACAAGATCCAGGTCCGATTCAACACAGAACATAAAATCCGTGATTTAGTTCCATCTGTGAAAGATGCTGTTCCAGACATACAGTACCCGGGCGTTTACAAACTAAAGTGCCTCTGTGGTAGTAGCTACATTGGAGAAACCAAACGACATATCTCGGACCGCATCCGCGAACATAAAGCAGACTTGAAACACGGTAGAACGAACTCCTCTGCCGTGGAAGATCACTGTTATAATTCAGTGGGCTCACATGACATTGACTTCTCCAAGACGGAGGTTCTTTGCAAACCAACCGGCTACCATGAGAGATTCGTTCATGAGGCCATTCACATATACAACCACAGAGACAATTTCAACCGAGAGGATGGATTCTGGCTTAGTAACCATTGGAAAGATGTTTTAAACCATTTCTGTTCTTAATTAATTGTATTTTACGATGACCTTCAGACCGCAGCTCTTTCGCCAGCCTTGACTCTTAATACCTCTCACACCACGGTTAATGGTATGGTTTACAACATAGAGTATAATAGCGCCTCGCAGCTGTCTCTCTCCCCCTCCTCTGTTCCGACCATGGATGAACTCGTCCGTCTGAACGGGGCCCGTAGCTATCCGTGTTGCTAAAGTTGAGGGTAAGAATCCACCCATTTTTTCGCCATATAGCATTGTGATATATAACGACTTATTGTTGGTAGCTTAGCTGATTGGAGAATATAGAGTTTATTGATAACATTAAGGTAATTTATATTTTAGTTTTTTATTGGTTCACTATATAGTACTGTGAATAGCTCAGATGTGTAGGCCTTGACTTCAACATAGCCATTTCTGTGACCAGTCACTAGCTAATCACTCAGTTATTTCAATGCTAAATTCGCCTAGTTATTTCAATGCTAAATTCTCCTGTTTGATTTGTACTAAGTGCCTCGGTGAATGTGTATGCTCTGACTTTAACATAGCTATTTCTGTGACCAGTTACAAGCTAATCACTCAGCTATTTCAATCCTAAATTCTATGCTAATTCCTTTGTCAAGGGGTGCCTCTGCGGATGTGTATGCTTTAACTTTTAACATAGCCATTTCTGTGACCAGTCACAAGCTAATCACTCAGCCATTTCAATGCTATATTATATGCTAACTCCCTCCCTCTCTCCCTCACCTCCCTCACCTCCCTCTCTCACCTCACCTCCTTCACCTCCCTCACCTCCCTCACCTCACCTCCCTCTCTCACCTCCCTCACCTCCCTCACCTCTCTCACCTCCCTCAACTCCCTCCCTCACCTCCCTCACCTCCCTCCCTCACCTCCCTCACCTCACCTCACCTCCCTCTCTTCCTTCACCTCCCTCACCTCGCTCACCTCCCTCCCTCACCTCCCTCACCTCCCTCCCTCACCTCCCTCACCTCCATCACCTCCCTCACCTCCCTCACCTCCCTCCCTCACCTCCCTCACCTCCCTCCCTCACCTCCCTCACCTCCCTCTCTCACCTCCCTCTCTCACCTCCCTCACCTCACCTCCCTCCCTCACCTCCCTCACCTCCCTCACCTCACCTCCCTCACCTCCCTCCCTCACCTCCCTCACCTCCCTCTCTCACCTCCCTCACCTCACCTCCCTCCCTCACCTCCCTCACCTCCCTCACCTCCCCTCCCTCACCTCACCTCCCTCACCTCCCTCCCTCACCTCCCTCACCTCCCTCCCTCACCTCCCTCACCTCCCTCACCTCACCTCACCTCCCTCCCTCACCTCACCTCCCTCACCTCCCTCCCTCACCTCCCTCACCTCCCTCACCTCCCTCTCTCACCTCCCTCACCTCACCTCCCTCCCTCACCTCCCTCACCTCCCTCACCTCACCTCCCTCACCTCCCTCACCTCACCTCCCTCACCTCCCTCACCTCCCTCCCTCACCTCCCTCACCTCCCTCACCGCCCTCACCTCACCTCACCTCCCTCACCTCCCTCACCTCCCTCCCTCACCTCCCTCACCTCCCTCACCTCACCTCACCTCCCTCACCTCACCTCACCTCCCTCCCTCACCTCACCTCCCTCACCTCACCTCACCTCCCTCACCTCACCTCTCTCACCTCCCTCCCTCACCTCCCTCACCTCCCTCACCTCCCTCACCTCCCTCCCTCACCTCCCTCACCTCCCTCCCTCACCTCCCTCACCTCCCTCTCTCCCTCACCTCCCTCACCTCCCTCACCTCCCACCGCAGGATTGACGACCGCCCCCCCGTGTCGATGTGCCGCCCGCCCACGCCCGCGACCCGCGACCCGCCCGGCACCGGCGCCTCCGTCGGCCTCCCAGCACCGGCGCCCCCCGACGGCCTCCCGGCGCTCCGCCGGGCCCCGGGCGGGTCGCCCCGCGGGCGAGCGGAGGGCCGCGCGGGGGCCGGGGCCTTCTCCGGCGCGAGGGGGGGGGAGAGCGGCCCGTGAGAGCGTCGCCGTTCCGTCGTGCGGCGGCGACCTCTCGGCTCGCTCCCGGTTCTCGGAGGGGGGGGGGGGCGGGGGGTGGGGGGGGGCTTGTGGGACGGCGAGCGAGAGACCCCCGACGCCCGATTGGATCGGCGGCGTCGGGAGCCCTCCGTTGGCGTCGCGTCGCGGACGTTTCAAACGAAGGCGGAACGACGCGTCAGGCGAATCGCCGAACGGTAATCCGGAGAGAGAGAGAGGGAGAGTGGGTAGCGGTGGGGGTGGTGGCGGTTCTGGTTAGACGTGCGATCATGATTTCAATTTTGTCAGCGCGTAGCTCCCAGCGGCGAACGTGCCGCACGCCTCTCTCGCCCGCCTCCCCCTCCACCCCGACGCGTGATCGGTCGATGGTGGAATCGGCAGGGTGGGCGGGCGAGCGAGTTGGGCGAAAGGTTTGTTCAGTGTCGGGGGGGTTCCGGATTAGAGAATCGAATCTTAAAATCCGTCGATTTTTGCTTTAAAAAAATAAATAAATAAGTTGCACAATTTAACACCGCGGCTTATCGCGAGCCAAACCGCCATGCGGCAGACGAGGGGGGCGTGGCCTGTTGGGGTGGGCGGGGCACGGCGAGGGGGTTTCCGGCCTTCGCGAGGCTGCAATTGGCTTGTCGCGGGTGACTCCGTCCGCTCGCGAGCGAGTTTGGGTTCCAGAGGGGCCGTTCCCGAAGTCGCTTTGTTGGCGAGCCCAAAATTTGGTTCGCGAGTCCAACGTTGAGCCCCGTCGATTCGCTCGCTCGGCGCGGCATCGCAAGCGGGCGGCGGTGGTCGGCACGCTCCCGGCAACGGCGCCGCATTCCGCGGTATAACAGGCGCGTAGCGACGGTGCACGTTGTACACGGTGACGGTGGTGACGGTGCACGTTCTACACCGTGACGGTGGTGACGGTGCACGTTCTACACCGTGACGGTGCACGTTCTACACCGTGACGGTGTCACGCTCTACACCGTGACGGTGCACGTTGTACACGGTGACGGTGGTGACGGTGCACGTTCTACACGGTGACGGTGCACGTTGTACACCGTGACGGTGGTGACGGTGCACGTTCTACACGGTGACGGTGCACGTTGTACACCGTGACGGTGGTGACGGTGTACACGGTGACAGTGTCACGTTCTACACCGTGACGATGGTGACGGTGCACGTTCTGCAACTTGCCGTGTTGCTGTGGAGTTTCGTGTCGAGCTGAGGGGGTGGGAGGGACCCGCATTGAATAGAGAAGGGGGGAGGCTGGGGGGGTGAGTTGCCTCTTGTGGTCTGGAAGTTCACCGGCCTTGCCTCGGGCGAAGCCTCTGGGCGTCACACACAGTGACGCTTTTTCCTTTCGCGTTGAACCCAGAACACGGTGGGTCACGGCGGTGGGTCAAAGTCAACGGGTTCCTTTAGGAGGCTTTCACGACCGATATCATCCGCAACGGAGGTGTTTTGGGGGTTAGACGGCGTGAATATTTAAACGCGTCCTGAAAGACCCGCCAACCACCGGACACAGCCAACGAGCAAGGGTTGTCAACGTCAACAGAACGTGGCAAATTCGTCACCGGTTGTGCACGTGTTTGATTGTGCACAGTCGTCTATTCGTTTCGTTGTTTTAGTTGACGTCATTAAATTTTTACGCGGAAATTTGCAAAAAAATGTATTCCGTGTCAACGCTCAAAACAAGTGGTGTGTGGGGTGCAGAGTCGGTGGTGGAGATTCCACATCCCTACTGGGGGGGGGGGCAGAGCCAAGCCACAACATTTACAATCCGAGTGCCGTGACGTTTCGCCAGTAATTACAACCGGCTTCATCAGGTCGACAGCCAGACTTGTGGAGCAGTCCACCAGTTTCGTTCCTTGTACGTAGCCGGCCGTGCGCTAACCGGAGGTGCGGAGCGGTGGCGCAGCAGTTAGCGCCACGCTGCACTGCGAACCCGGCGACCCACAGTTCACTTCCCACTCACGGCCACCGGCACCGGCGACGATTTGTTGTCATCCGGTCCCGGGCAACCCCCTAGGTCGACTTAGCCTTACATGAGTAATCTGGTGTAGTGTGTATACATCGGCCTCGAGGGAGACAAAGGCAGCCAGGCGTGGTGCCGGCCACCCACCCCCTCTTGTTCTGTGCCGGCCTTCGTAGGTGCTGCTCGCTACACTGGGGGTCTTTGTGTGTGGTAGCACCAGGACTAGATGTGTGGAATCTGTCCACTTTTGGCTGGGTTGGCAGTGGTGAGCAACTTTGTGGACTCGTGGTGAGCTATTCTTTCTGTGTGCCAGTGGTGAGCTGTTCTCTCTGTGTGCCAGTGGTGAGCTGCTCTCTCTCTGTGTGCCAGTGGTGAGCTGTTCTCTCTGTGTGGCAGTGGTGAGCTGTTCTCTCTCTGTGCCAGTGGTGAGCTGTTCTCTCTGTGTGCCAGTGGTGAGCTGTTCTCTCTGTGCCAGTGGTGAGCTGTTCTCTTTGTGTGTGCCAGTGGTGAGCTGTTCTCTCTGTGCCAGTGGTGAGCTGTTCTCTCTCTCTGTGTGTGCCAGTAGTGAGCTGTTCTCTCTGTGTGTCAGTGGTGAGCTGTTCTCTCTGTGTGTCAGTGGTGAGCTGTTCTCTCTGTGTGTGCCAGTGGTGAGCTGTTCTTTCTGTGTGTGCCAGTGGTGAGCTGTTCTCTCTGTGTACCAGTAGTGAGCTGTTCTATCACTGTGCCAGTGGTGAGCTGTTCTCTGTGTGTGCTAGTTGTGAGCTGTTCCCTCTCTGTGTGCCAGTGGTGAGCTGTTCTCTGTGTGCTAGTGGTGAGCTGTTTTCTCTGTGTGCCAGTGGTGAGCTGTTCTCTCTGTGTCATTGGTGAGCTGTTCTCTCTGTGTGTGTGCCAGTGGTGAGGCCGTCGCCGTGCCGGTGAGTGGGTTAATCCGGCGTCTGCCGTTCCTCACCACCCCTGTACAGCTCTCACACTAACAACAACTATTCTCTCCGCCTGATGAAGGCCGCTCGTGTTGCCATCGAAACGTCGTGGGCTTTTTTGGCTTTTGTTATTTTCCCAGTGATTATTTAACATGTTTACTATCTAATTTTTGCCGCGTTATTTTTATTTTCTATCTACCGTTACTTCATCGAAAGGACCAAGAATCACCAATAAAACCCTCAAGGCCGTCCCGTGTCTCTCCGTGTCTCTCTGTGTCTCTCCGTGTCTCTCTGTGTCTCCGCGTGTCTCTCTGCGTATCTCTCCGTGTCTCTCCGTGTCCTTGTCTCTCCACGTCTCTCCGTGTCTCTCCGCGTCTCTCCCTGTCTCTCCGTGTCTCTCCGTGTCTCTCCGTGTCTCTCCGTGTCTCCGCGTGTCTCTCCGTGTCTCTCTGTGTCTCCGCGTGCGCTCGCTGCGCGTGGAGCGACCCGCGTCACAGACTCACGCGCTATCTTCCTTTCTCTTCGCCGCCCGCCCGCCCTTCTCTGTCTCTCCTCCTCCCTCTCCGTGACCTCGTCGCCCATCGAGTCGACGAGCGACGAGCGGCCAAATTCAGCGGCGCGCCGGCCAGCGGGGTGGAAGGCCGGACACACTGGACATACAGGGGAGGGTCGTGCGTGCGGGCGTGCGGGCGGGCAGGCGGGCGGGCGGGCTCGCGTTCCACTTACTCACTAACTCACCCGCTCACCCACTCACTAACTCATTATGAGACCTCCTTTGCCTGGCAAAGGAGGTCTCTCTTACATTATGAGACCTCCTTTGTCTGGCAAAGGAGGTCTCATAATGTAAATGCTCACCCCGAGCCCTCAATACTCTGATGGTGCGCTGTTTTTGAGTTGTACGCCTTTTGGCGTCTTCTGGTCCAACACCAATGGAGAATAGGCTCTAAGAAAAGCTGTCTCGGGTGTGGACCAATCAAATTCAAGGACAGTGCATATTATTATCAGAGTTTTGCATTTTGACTGCTTGTGTTGTGGTTATTGCAAACATGATGCCTTGAATAAAGGTGTCAGTGTTTGTGCCAGTTAAAAGGGTAAAACCTATTCCTACACTCACTAACTCACCCGCTCACTCACCCGCTCACTCACCCGCTCACTCACCCATCCACTCACTCACTCACCCAACCACTCACTCACCCACTCACCCGCTCACTCACCTGCTCACTCACCCGCTCACCCATCCACTCACCCACTCACTTACCCAACCACTCACTCACCCACTCACTCACCCAACCACCCACTCACCCACCCACTCACTCACCCACTCACCCACCCACCCACTCACTCACCCGCTTACTCACCCGCTCACCCACTCACTCACCCACTCATTAATTTTTTCCCCCCAAAGACGTCCAGCAGGGGCAAGGGGCGTCAGCGAGTGACACCGACAATCGGGTCGACATTCTCGTCACAACAGACGGTCACGTGGGCTGGCGGCACCTGACAACGGCACGTGGGCCAAAACGTTGGACACCGCATTTGGTAGAATCGGGTGACATTGCTCATCGCTGTGCCAAGGTGCGACTCGAAGTGGTCTAAGTAGTGGCCAAACAGCGGAATAAAACCCATCGCATTTAGAGGATATTGTCCCTTGTGATGCTTTGAATGTTGAACTGTGTCCATGTACATACAGAACAGAACAAACATACTCGTGATTAAAAAACACAAACAAACATTAAATTCCGATTTAAAGCTTTCGTGACTGCAAGGATTCATCTTCTTTGGTTCTTTCGGTAAAGTCACCACCACGTAGAATGAGAATAAAATAATAAATTGATAAAATAATAAAATAACAATAACATTCTCACGACGTTTCGGCCCAAACACAGGGTGATGCCACTTCAGGTTGTCCGTTAGTTCTGCAAGATATAAACCCCACGGCGAAAGGTCTCGAGACCTCCCACGAGGCACAAATCAGACCGCGCGGCGTTGCAGCGGCGGTTTCTTATACGAACTACTCAAAATGTTACCTATAGCAAAGTCTTTTTTAAATGAAAAATCATTCTCATGTCCAGCTGCCTGGTGGGGTGGCGCCCCACCGCCCCCTAGTGGACTAAGTCAGACACCACCCCCACTGCCCCCTAGTGGACTGTCAGACACCACGCCCACTGCCCCCTAGTGGACTAAGTCAGACACCACCCCCACCGCCCCCTAGTGGACTAAGTCAGACACCACCCCCACTGCCCCCTAGTGGACTAAGTCAGACACCACCCCACTGCCCCCTAGTGGACTAAGTCAGACACCACCCCCACTGCCCCCTAGTGGACTAAGTCAGACACCACCCCCACTGCCCCCTAGTGGACTAAGTCAGACACCACCCCACTGCCCCCTAGTGGACTAAGTCAGACCACCCCCACTGCCCCCTAGTGTGTGAACACGCACCACCACCACTGCCACCACCGCCACTGCCACCACCACCACCATGACCACCGCCACCACCACTGCCACCACCGCCACCACCACCACCGCCACCACCACCACTGCCACCACCACTGCCACCACCACCACTGCCACCACCACTGCCACCACCACTGCCACCACCACCACTGCCACCACCGCCACCACCACCACTGCCACCACCACTGCCACCACTGCCACCACCACCACCGCCACCACCGCCACCACCACCACCAACACCGCCACCACGACCACCACCACCGCCACCACCACCACGGCCACCACCACCACCGCCACCACCACCACCGCCACCACCACCACCACCGGCACCACCACCAACACCACCACCACTGCCACCACCGCTACCGCCACCATGACCACCACCCACCGCACCTCAAATGAGTACCTGGTGCGGTGTGTAGTAAACATCGCCAGGAGGGAGACAAAGGCGGCCGGGCGTGGTGCTGACCACCCACCCCCTCGTGTGCCACAGTGCCGGTAGCCTCTCATAGGTGCTGCTACTCGCTAACAACACTTGCCCCTACAGTCTGTTACAGGCTACACAGTGGGGAATCTTTGTCTTTGTGTGTGCCTGGCCCCGCCCTGCCTCACCCACCACAGCCAGAACACCTCGTCACACACACAGCGTGACGAGGTGTGAACACACAGCGTGACGAGGTGTGAACACACACAGTGTGACGAGGTGTGAACACACACAGTGTGACGAGGTGTGAACACACACACAGTGTGACGAGGTGTGAACACACAGTGTGACGAGGTGTGAACACACACACACACAGCGTGACGAGGTGTGAACAAGCACAGCGTGTGACGAGGTGTGATCACACACAGTGTGACGAGGTGTGAACACACACA